GAACTATTAATCTATGGCTCTCCATATTGCATTCAGATCGGCTTTCCCCCAGCCACCACCTGGTCTGAAGTAAAGGCCAGAAGAGGACCCAGAGGACTGGACACTCTCTTATTATGAGCTGCACCCAGACACCTCTGGGTTTCTAAGCGCTTCCTCTGACAGTGACTGATGGCCAATTAACCATTTGAAGAAGAGTATTGATCATTTAGAGAACTGGAAGGATCTGGAAACATCTCCTAACACACCACTATTCTCACTGTACAAAGTGAGCAGCCAGCCAGCACATCATCGGTACTAAAAACAAACATTACAAACAACGACATCCGTTTTCACACAAATACTAGCAAGCACACACCAAATCTGTATTCTGGTTAACAATAGCCAGCAAAATCATGGGCAAGTTAAAAATACAGCAAAGTGCCTTTGGAAGCATTAGTATCATCTATTGTGACTGGCTTCCAGGACATCAACTTCAACCTTCATGTCCCATGTTCTTTGCTGAGGTGAATTTTTTTCCCGGCAAGAAAACACAGTGGCATCCAAGGTTCAAGGTCAGCATTACACGTTCTTTCTCTCCATGAGAGTGTAAGAGAGAGAGAAAGAGAGATAACCCAAGAAAAAGAACATTCGATTAGACCCTCCAGGAAAAGACTCATCTCAACAAGCTCAATCCCTGACTTCTCATTGGTGGCCCTTGGATATATGAAGCAGAGTACTAGCACAAGATGGTTAGCAGCAACAGAAACACAACAGTAGAGATTGAGGACAACTGCTGATACAATGTCAGATTCTGTGGCCTTCTATGAATTATGGTCCAGGTTCCCGTTGAAACATAGGGTAATCTCATCCCACATCAGAGGTTAAAGGTCACTTCCATGCTACCTAGATAGAAAAGCACACATAGCGACAACGGCGCAGCGCATTTCAGGAGGGAAACAGCCCAACTTCATCCCCTAAGCGCTCTCACATAGACCTGAATCATAGAAATGGGGTAATTGAAACAAAAGGGCAGAGTTTGACAGAGATGTAGTGCCTTTGCAGGGCCTCTGCACAGACTGCAGAAAATAACACCCAACTCCTCCCCTCTGCAAGGTTCATCCTCCATGTGTCCTCGGCAACGCCTGTGTCCTTCCTTTACTTCTCAAGATTGCCATTTGCAAATGATAAGTGCAGGGACATAGCCTTCTGATAGATAAGGTGCCTAGGCATTTGTCACCAAATGGAGCGTGTGCCTACATTGTTTAAAGCTGACCTGTGTTGACGTGCACTGTTTACCTTTTATTCATTTATGCTGAACTATTATCTCTGCCTCCATTAATCACAGTAACTTGAAGTGAAGAAATTACATTTTGCAAGAATGGAAGGAAGGAAGGAAGGAAGATTTATTCGATTTATCTGTATTCTTTCTTTCCAATAAATTAATATGATGGAAAGTGAATAGAAAATGCAATACATTTGATCAGTTTTGTCCTGCAAATAATCAATTCCAACACTCTTTTTCATTGTGATGTCCAATTAAAATTCTGTAAGCAGCAGAAAATTCATAACAAGCATTTGTACTCCTGAGGAGTGAAATCATTTTAATTTTCCCCTACTTTTTTTTCCTTCTAAAGTGTAATTGCCTCCTTGCATGATATATTCTGCATTTGTACATCATGCTAATTTACTGGGTAAGTATCAGCAGTTGAGAAAATAAATAATTTTATATAAAATTTCCCTCCCCCAGTGCACAAGTCTTCCCGTTGTCTGTGTCATTTGAATTCATCTCTCATGACTAGAGGGAACAAAAACTCTTTCTGGTAGTAAATTATCACTTCCCTGTAAAAGACCATATCCCTGCAAAAACATGGCGATCATTTGCCATGCATTAGCTATGGGACAGAAACGAAGTGGTTTTAAATTCCTTTGACCAGAAGGCAATTTCCCCCAATAAATTATGTTAATTTCGGCTTTCGCTCTCCTTATCGCATTCTTTAGTGAGTCAATGAGGAGAGACAAAACTGGCTGCGAGAAAGACAACTCTGGAATGATTCACATTAGAATGATAAGAGACGTCTGGCCCAAAAAAATCTTATATTACTGTACTAAGAAATGGGACCTGTATTACTGTATTATGCAATGTATTTCTGCTTGTTGACATTTAATGGCCATCTCCTTGCATCATCACAAGGTTTAAACCCCGTGGAAATTGCTCTGAGGTGACTGTTCACACAAGTACATGGAAGGTGCCTGACACCAAATCCCATGCTCCCTCGCTGAACCAGACAACAATTGCTTGGCAACGCTCTCATTGGGCAGAGGGAAAAACAAAGAAAAATCCAGGTTTTTCTTTATTCTCTCTGCATGGGTAGCTGGATTTTGGATGGTCTTTTCTTGAGGAATTAACAAGGGACTAGCAAGGGGCAACAGACTAACAGGGAAGTTTAAACAAAAGGCAAACAGAAGCAACAGGAGTTGGAATAATCTGCCGACATAACACCTAACATGTACACACGCAGCAGAAATGCATGTATGCAAATCCTTGTGGAAACACCAACTCTCCCTCACCCTCTCGCTCTCTCTCTCTTACACACACACTTCGCATACTGAAAACATCAAGTGGCGTGCACACACAGGCAAGGCCGTAGCTACAGTCCTTTGTTCCTGAGGCTGAAAGTGTACCTACCCCCTCTGTCCGGCCCGTCAGATCATTCACAACACAGTGAAAAGGGAAAGTGCTCAGCTAGCTCAAATCTAGATTGACAGGCCTACCTTTATTACTGACTGAGTTATGTTTCCCTGCAAAAAAGACAAGTCGGCTTTTGATGCAGACGAATGCCGAGTCAGCGCCTTACCTCGCTACAGAGGATAGCTCGACTGATCTCATCTGAGACTGTCCCAGCCCTGATGTAGAAAGAATTGGCTACCAAATTACCTTTCCAATCCATTTCTGGAACTCACTCTGTCCTATAAACGTAGCCTGTAAGCTGTGATGGGAGGTTATAAGGATGCTTGTCCTGACCTAATATATGATAGAGAGTGACAGACTGAAACAGAGAGAGAGGGATGCCTATACACGTGATACAAACAGAAAAGAATAAAACTGATTTACTTGTATCCCTGAATGCATCTACTTCATGAACCGGCTCATTGCTATTCAGGGTCACTAAAGGGCTATAGCAGCCTATCCCAACATGCATTGAGTGAAAGGCAGGAGGAACAGCGCAGACAGAGCTTCCTTCTATCACTGAGTGAACAAAGAAACAAACAATTACACACCTATGGGAATTTTGTTTCTTAAAATTCATGTAATTACAGGAAGAACATGGAGCCTCCACACAGAACAAAGGCACTGAGTAACTTGAGGAAACAGCACCTAACCACTGAACCACCACGCCACCCATACACCAGCAACCCCATCAAAATACAACATGCATCATAAAATGACTTGTAAATATCACTGCACTGCTACTTACTTAGCTTGATATATGACGTCCCTGGAGCATGACTGTTTATTTAATCGTAATATATTCATAATTATACACTAATTAATGCAAGAGAAAAGCCCTCTTAATTCATCATCTCAGTGTCCTGAAGCAAGAGACACAATTACACCAACTTTAACATGTTTGCCTTCTGTCCAAAGCAAGGTTAACAGTTTGGAAACAAGCGCAAGGCAAATGATGTGTGAAAGTCTTGTGTTTAGGACAGTCTTCCAGCTGTGTGGCATTGTGAGGATGATATTTAGCATAAGGGAGACTGAGTAAAGAAAGTGTTTTAAAAATAGCCGAAGAGCTGAACTGTGAAATGGTGCATTATGGGCAAAAGGGCAATTAATTGCATTGATTAAATCACTCATTTGACTGGCTTGACTGTGCACCACCAGGGACCTGTAATATTAAGGGTCAATGGCCAGCAGTGTTTTATGTTGGATTGTCATAAAAAAAATTAAATGTCATTCACACAAATAGCCTGTTAGTGTTAAATACAATTATTGGAGGATGTTTGATTATTGACATGAAAAATATAATTAAGTAGAAAAGGACATCCTATTATAGGCCATCTTACAAATAGCTTATTTGCTGCTGAGGGAAACTTGTCTCCAGTACTTCAGCTCACACCCACTGTTGCTGATTGTTTTGTACATCAAAGCACATTTGCATGCAATCGGCAGTGTCTGACCAAGAGGCTACATCATAAAACGTAACTCATCAGTGCGAGTAGGTCGTCTACCAACTCCGTAAAGCTGTCACCATCCTGCAAATGCAGCAGGAACGAGTCCTGGTCGGAGAGAAACGTGGAGTTGAATGATCCCCCCCGTTTGCACCCGGTTAGATGGATGGATGCAGGCTCTGAATATGCCCGCTCCGTAGCCACAGCTCAAAGATTTAATAACAGCATGATCAGTTGAGCTGATACTCTTCTTATATTGGAATTAGACTCACAAAAAAAAAAAAAAATGAAGGTTGTTTTATGTGACAGCATGAAAAGCAGCGCGATGTTACTCAGCATTGCGTGTTATTGTGCACGGGCCCCCGTCGGTTAAAAAACATCTCCTTAAAAAGTGTGCACGTTTGCCCTCACTCCTTTCAAGCAGGTGTAGCCCCCCCAACTTCACTTACAGTCACGACAGTATTGATTAAAGACAGAAAAAACTACAACAGACTGCACCACCTTACATTTACAACCACGAGAGAGAGAGAGAGAGAGGTGGACATTAGCCTCAAGTTTTAACCTTGGTGGACACGTTTGAGGCAACAGAGTCTCGGTGTGTGTAACCTTGAAGGTGCAGGCTAATTGATGAGTGTGAGTGCTGGCAAATTATAGAACAATAACGTGCTCAGTCACGCGCGTCCGCATTTCGAGTAAAAAAAATAAAGAATAAAATAAAAAAAAAGCCAGCAAACAAACTTGTCACGTGCAGCCCTTTTAAACAAAAATATATACTTACTATTTGTGTTTTTCCCCGATATTTAACAGCTCAATTAACCAAAAGCATAAATTACCCTAGTGAAACTCACCAGTGCAGGTGAAGCCAGCGAACACGAGCCAGAGCACAAGGAGCGTAGCGCTGAACCTACAGCGGACAAAGGGGCCCAGAAGTAAGGGCATCTTCGTGCTTTTTTTTATCACTTAAGTTTCAAAAGGCAGGGAGCAGAGAAGAAACGCTGGGCACACTGAACTGTTTAAGGTCCGGAGAGTGTCCTCTGTGGCACTTCACGCCTTTATCTCAACGCCCAAGTCCTTCTTTCCTCAACACATATCCTCCCGCCGTAGCGTGGCCATCTGTATCCCGGTCGTGCGTCTTCGTTGCTCAGAACAACGCATCACAGGTGTGGTAAATACAGCCGCTTCCTCGCTCGCCGCCGCGGGTTGACTGTACTGTATTTGTCCGGGGAGGAGAAAAAAAAGCCGCTATCCGCTCACAACTCTCCCTCTCTCACTGAGCCGAGGAGGGAGTCCAGTTTTCTTGTTGTTTCTTGTCACTTTGCAGCCTTCCCGGCGAAAGAACACCTTCTCCAAATGCAAAAGAAAAATTGTAAGAATTGGCACCAGAGGAGGAACATCTGCTTGCACAGCAATGCTGGAGTGCTGAGAGTCAGGGAAGGTATAACGCTGCGATGAGCGGAGCAGCAAAACCAGGAGCGGATCCTGCGTGCTGGCTGGGAATGGAGCGTCCTTAGCGCGCCCTGCTGTTATATGCTTTTTCTTAGGCAAACATTTACATATCTTGAATAAGCATAACTAACCACATATTGTCAATGCACGACAGAATGGAAATTATTTCATCCGTATCCTTGCAAGTGTGCTTTTCATATCTTCTGCCTTACATGAAAATGATGGATATGACATTCAGTCCTGTATGATAGGAATCAGATCGGTGCTTTGCATACAAATTCACACAGATCACATCTGCATGTCATTGAGTTTCAGTTACATATGCCTTTGCTTTATCTTCTTTTTGTGTGTCTGCTGCAGCACATCAGTGAGGGACAAACACTGATGAAGAAGCATGAGGATTAGCGCTCCCATGAGAGTGTACACCTGTCAGCAAACTCAGACCAGCATGTGACTTATGTTGCAGATAGCTTATTCCTCATTTACTGGGGGTGTCAGTGGAGTGATTTTCAGACTGTTCAGCCATGCCTTTTACAAGCAAGCAGACAGAATCGACAGCAGATTATTAATACACTTCAAATGGTGGTGGTGGGGGGGGGGTTGTGTCTTTGTTTATCTATTTCTCCACTCCCACATAGTAGTCAGCAGAATAATAAGTGGAAGCACAGAACTGGACCACTGTCTTACCAGCTAATTATGGGGCTCATGTAGATGGATGATTCCTCAGATGGAGCCCAGCTATTATACAAACTCATTAAGTCTTCTCTCCATCCAGCATCCCTTCGCGAAAGGTCAAAGTCACACAGGCACAATGACAGTACAGACACATGCATGCACACGCATACAGGCAAACAAGCACAACCCCACAGCCATATAGTTTGTGATCAAATCCTAATGGGCGCAGTGGATGTGAAAGAGGTAAAGAAGGCAGACGCACAGCAGCTAAATGCAAGAGAATGACTCAGCTTTGGTCACTTGTGAGGTTTGCTCGTAATGATCTCTCTCATTCTGCTAATCTGCTCTGTGTCCTATCAGGCAGTGCAAGCTGGTCTCTCCCAGTCACAGTATGTGCCTTTTTTTTCTGAAAAAGCACCCAAGCTACATGCATTTCAAATGAGCATCTGAGAATATGTATATATATAAATGCACAGTCAGTTATCCTCTTACAGGGAGGGAGTTTAGCTTCAGCTGTTTTTAAAGGAATCATTAGAGTGTGTTTTCTTGCAGTGATGTGTTTGCTGAGTCAAAGCAGGGCACAACCTCTCCCACAACCTTTTCTTCCACTGATTCCTCCGGGTCCAGCATCCTATCCCCCTTGTGCGCCCTCAATCAGACTATAGTGAACAATCACAGCTCTTTGGGGAGTTGACACTTTCAGTTGTTCATCGATTTGTGGTGTTGTAATTAATTTTCTCTCCGTCATTGGCTTGAGTTACAATATCCTGAGACTTGAAGCAGCTTGTTCTCCTGCAATCAATCACAAAACCAAGACAGAACCAAACCATTTCTCTTGCATCATCTTCAATTATTCACGGCGGCTATGACCCAAAGAGACCAGACTTAGTGACCGTTAAGTATTAAGAAAACATGAGGCTCATTTGTATGTTACAGATTGTTAAAGTGTTTATGTACTTCCATAAACTGTGCAATTACACTCGTGACATATGCACCCTATAAAGACAACTGATTCGCCTGGTCGATAAGCATCGATCCAACAAAGGTGTCCAGCATGAAATTAATATTATTTATTGTTTACAAACAACACAGAAGGTCCCTTGAGAAGGGTGCAGTGCAGCCTCTGACTGTCTGCATTCCAGCACAGAGTTGTGGAGTGAGGCAGAAAGAGAGAGAGTGGGTGTATCAACTTCCATCATGACCACAGCTTCACAGCCTATTGTTTTGTTTATATCAAATTAAACTGCAATGCTTCTCCAGAGAGATATAATTGACCACAGTCTCAGATTAAATGACTGTAAAGAGCTTAATAAGCCATCAGCGGATTGCATATTACATTGCAAACCACTTATGAGGATGCAGTCCAATGAGAATGAAATTGAGGTTCAGATTTGCATGCCACAGCATTTTTAGCCATTAATTACCATGCAAAATTAGTGTATGATGATCAATAGTGTATCAATTTAATTAAATATTATTGATATGGGGTTAGGAAGATTAATTAGGAGCTTAACAAACCCCTGTAATGTTGGAAGAGTAGGTATTACTTTAACATCATGATATCTCCAGTGGGTCCTCCATTCTCTTTTGTAGATTATAATGGATAGGAGACAAACATCTTCCCCTCGCTCTGATTCATGATACAGATGTTAAAGCACACGTTATCTATGAGTACTATAAAAGCCATCATCATCACCACTGTATTAATAATACACATAGGCTTTTACTCCAAGTTATTGTATCCGTAGCTCTCAAAACTCTCATAAAAATGTTATGATCTGGATATGCTATGCATAGCTGCAACTTTGTTTAATTAAATTATGTCACACAAGTGCAGATAAAATAGCTTCAGTGTGATCTCACCACATCTTGTGCAGTTGAGTGAAGAGCAAAACCAAATGAGAGCGAGAGATAGAGAGTTTAAAAAATAGAGATGAAAAAAGTAAGGGGGGGGTGGGAGTTCTGGAAGTGGGGAGGGGGTGAAGGAGCCCTCTGAAGGTCTCTCATTTCAGCAGCACAGACTGCTGATGAAGCTGAACTTCCAATATCCCACTACTTCAGCTCTGACGATTTCTCAATTTTACAGATATGGCCCGAGAATGTGATTTGATGAAAATGTAAAATGGGATAACCACCAAATCATATGAAATGGGCTGCATTTTATTCCATGACTATAAATCAAAAGCAGACACTCTAAAAATTAAAGTTGATTTTGTGTTTGATTCAAAGTACAACTCTTCTGACTTGGAGGAAGAAAGGATGTCCTGTCCTTAAATTAAGATTCTCTCTTTCGTGCAGATTCTTCACATTCTTCGTAAGTTCAAGAGCTTGATTGCCGAAAGAAGCCCAGGCAATGTTTGAGTGTACTGCTCTAAGAGTTGTTTCAAAAGGGAATTCAAACAATTTATTCATAGAATGTGTTTCCATCCCAAATAGATTCTCCTAATCTAAAACACTGCGTGAGCGTTTGGAAATGTATGATGATTTCATTTTCTCCCAGTCTCAGGGTCATAAATAAATTTGCATTCTGTCAGCAAAATGGACTAACTGACTTGTAATTCATCAAACCCGCTGCTTAATGCTTAAACAGTTCAACACATGGTAACCTGATTTTTTTTTTTTTCTACAGAATCGCCTCACAGCTGTGTGCTCTAATGGGTGAGGAGGAAGAAAAAGGAGCACTTACATTTTAAAGACCTCATAAAACAATAAAATAAAGAAGAGAAATGAACTCCATGAATGAAACATTTTAATTCTGAAGAGATGCACAAGAAATGCATTTGTTTACCATTTTTTTCTGTAAATGTTCAGTAAGCCCAGAGAAAGACAAACTCTATAGGTATCTAATCCTGTCTAAATCAGGTGTGATTTGCTCAGTAAAGATTCATATTAAAACTCGCACCTGCATCCTTTTATTCTCTTTAAATGGTACCCTATTAATTCAAAATCTGGTATGCCTGACAAAGAATAAAATTGTGTCTTTATTTGAACCAACTAGGTAACGTTTGATATACCTCTTCACCACACAATGGATGACAGTAAAAAGTGTCAAGCTGAACCATTTTTCCCACTAGTTTTTTCCCCCTCTACATTTGATTATTCTTTAAAAAAAAAAGGAAAAAAAGGAGTTTCCTGAAATATGCTTCCTGGACCGACATCCTCTTGTTGTTCTGAATGTCACATTGTCTAAGCGTGCATGGGAGAGAAGACTTTGAATGATGTTGAATGTTTTATGACTCCCTGCTTTTGTGTCAGTTCTCCCCAGTGCTGCTCTGAGACTCAGATAGGAGAACCTCGTCATCTACCGCTGCTGGATCTGACAGCGTAGGAGTAACACATAGGCTAGCCACACTTAACATTTGGGGAGCTTCATTTCAAAATGCCATCTATCAGCTTTGGGAAAATGTTACCTGGAGTTTATTACTAAAGATCAATCTTTTAGAAAAGAGAACACGAGAATAGTTTTACTTCAAAATCCAGCATATTCATTCTGTGCTGTGTCCCTTAGTGAGTCCTATAATATTTTTTTATTGTTTAACATAAAAATAACCTTAACATTTAGCCAATTTCCCATCAGCCATGCCATCAGTTACTATTTATTAAAAGAAAAGAAATACTATCTACGATTACAGATGCTATTGTAGTGATGGAAAGTAACACATTTTGAGATGTTTGCGCGTACAGCCCCACATTACAGTTGCAGGTGCTTGCTACCTTTAATGTAAAAATGTTCCATATAAAATATTAGATGGTATTATAAATTAGGGTTTCAACTTAGAATTTCTTCATTGTCCATTCATCTGAAATTCATTTTCTTAATGAACTGAGGAATCATTGGGTCTATTAAATGTCAGAAAATAGGGAAAAATACCCATTGTAATTTCCTAGACTCCATAGGGACGTCTTCAAATGTCTCCAAAACAGAGAAAGCAGCAAATTATCACAACAGAGAAGCTGCCACTGGAGAATGGTTGGGTATGGTTGGGTATTCTGTTGTAAAATAATCAATTATCAATAAATAGATGCCAATATAGTTCTGTTTATCAACTAATCCTCTGAGTGCTTTTACATTAATACCCAATTGTATATGAAGTAGTTAAAATTTCCTGCCACATAAAATGCTGCTTCATGCATCAGTGGCAATAAAGTAATGATATACAAAAATATAATGACATTAACAAAGGCAGTCGGTAGAGCTGGCGTGCCATGTAACGAGGCTGAGTCCTTGCTACAGCGGCCCAGGGTTCGAATCCGACCTGCGGCCCTTTGCTGCGGGTCATCCCCCCTCTCTCTGCCCCCCTTTCCTGTCTGTCTTCAGCTGTCACTAGCAAATAAAGGCAATAAAAAGCCCAAAAAAATACTTTAAAAAACAAAAACCAAAGGCCATTCTACCTCCATAATGACAACACTTACTTTTGATACTTTAAGTTCATTTATCTGATAATACTTATATATTTTGACTTGAATGCAGGACTACTACTGCTTAAAGTAAAGCATGAATACTTCTCTCACTACTGCTACCTAACATGTACCGCAATAGTTTTAACTACTGTAATATAAATTTACATAACCTTGAAGCAGACCGGTAATGGAGGAGTTTTACAGTAACAAATCTTGCTGCTAATAACTTCAAAGATAGCGTATGTGTTCTCTGTTCACACCAGTAGGCATTTGTAACATTTTAAACATTTTTACAAATCCAGGGTGTTGCTTGAATTTAAATTCATTTTCAAATCCAATGAACCATTTAATTAACACCAACACACCTGCCTTAATGTTCAATCCTCCAAAAATATCTGGGGAGAACTGTCATTTATACAAGACATGATAGATTACACTTCTAAAACTAACGCATTTCAAAAATGGTGCAAACAGATAAAAACAGATGCAGTGAAAAAAATATTAAATTTTTCTGTTTGAAATAATGACCTTCAGTGACTCAAACTATCCGCTTCACATGGCTAAAAGTGTCACATAACAACAATGAATGAGACATGTATTTGTCACATCACGACTCAATACTCCCTTTGACATTTGACATGCAAATAGATACAGTTACTATGTTAATGGAATGAATGGATTTTTCTGTCACACAACCCACCCAGTTCAATGACATTTTAATTAACTAATATTTTCTGAACGTGTAGGTATGAGCAAGCTCTCAGTCAGATTTATGCTGCAATTACAGTATATTCCAGCAGAAATGCATTTCTTGGAAACCTGGTTCAACATATTTTGACACTGCCTTGATGTGATCCATTTTTGCCTCTGATCGCATTCATCCAAAGGGAGTTTATAAATAAATAGCGGTCAGTGGACAACGCATGTGTGTGTTTAAATCTTTATTTTGCCTTGCAGCGTCTGTTTGTGAGACGTCCAGTCTATTTGTCTGAACACATTCCTGGAGAGATGTCAGAATGGTATTGACACAGACCAATCGGGAGGCGAACGCACATATTGTTCCCTCTGCACACATCCTGCTCATTCAATTCTGGGAAATTGCTCAGCCTCAAAAAAAGGTTGTCATTATTTTGTCACTCAGCGTCCCAGGTGACATTTACAGCAAATAACCTCACCGGCTGAAAAAAAAAGCCACCACATAGAGTATATGAAGTTATATTTTCACTAAAGAAAAAAATGGAATATTGTCTTTAATACAATGAATGTTGCATAATTGAAACACTTAAATGAAAATAGAAAAAGCCTTACTTGAGTCATGAAAATTACTTGTGCTGTGGTTAAAGTTTAACTGAAGCACTTGTAAAAGTCAAATAAACTTCAACATTTGTATTAACGGAGAATTAAATGTTTATCTCTTAGTAAGCTTAGTTTTCTGCAGGGTAAAGATGAAAGTCATTTAATCTCTTAAACTAAATTAACTTCATTTCCTCTTCTTACACAAACCAGATGTTTTCATGCCATTGCAAAAAAAAAAAAAAAAAACTGACAGAATATGTTGAAATGTTGACTGATCAATAATACAGAGCGGCTCTCTAACGGGGCCGTAAATAGGAAATGACAGCAAAGTTAGCTTAGCTTAGCACAAAGACTGACCCCGCCCACTTCTACTGGAAATAAAAGTATTAAATATTATAAAACGTTCTTATTATTAGAAATGTTATTAAAGGGAGCAGTTTTAATAATCTAGTCTGTTTGAGCCACAACAATATTTAAGACTTAAATAATTGATAATCAATGAATGCAAAGAAGAAATATAAATAAAGGTATTTTAGCAACTATTAAGCAGAAATAATGAGGATAAATTATAAATTGTGTTCTAACTGCTAGAAATATAAATTTATACATAAATGTTGCTTTTTAAAAACATCAAAAAAATTTATTTTTGTTTAGTTTTTTTATATGAATAATTGAATAACTAAGATTGCCCCTACTCTCTCTCTCAGCCAATCAGAGGCAGCGTACACGTTTAACCTGGCCTGAAAACATTATATAAGTCTCTTTTCTGAATCTCACATCAGCCTAAAGTTTGGTTTCTTGAGATTAATGTTGTTAAATTTTGGGGCGCCGTCTCTTCTGTGACACCTTCCTTCACATTGGTGGTGCGGCTGCAGGTGGATGAACTTGCAAATACTGGAAACAGGTAAACATCAAGGCAACAAAATCCACCTGCCAGCAGCTTTAAAGGTGTCAAACTGCTCTTTCAACGCTAACAAATAAAGACACAATTCACCAGAAATAAAGAATTCACCTGTTAATGTTTCAGTGTCTGTGAAATGAAGCAGTCTAGCTTCCATCCTCTCTGTCTCACCTCAAATGGCAGCTCGGACAGGTGGTTTCCTGTGAGCTCCAGTCTCTCCAGGTTCTCGCAGTCTCCGAGCTCTGGAGGAACTCTGGACAGACGGTTGTAGCTGACGTTTAATTCCCTCAACCCCGTCAGTTTACCTGCGGACGGAGGAGGCCGATACGTTTGTTTGGTAGGTGTGCAGGGGGACAGTGTGTGTCTCTGATTGAAGATAAAATCTGACCGATCTCAGGTGGCAGCTCCACAATGGCGTTTTTGGGGATGTCGAGCACGGTGAGCTGGGTGAACAGGGCCAGGTAGTCTGGCAGCTGACGGATCTTTGTCCCCATGACGTGCCACTCTCTCAGGTAGGTCATCCACTGCAGCTCTTTGGGGAAGTCCTGCAGACATATTCACTTACTACCTGTTGTTGTCTTCCAGGTGAACAGTGTGTGACTGTTAACTTACCGTCCAATGATCTCCATTCAGCTGAAAGATCAGCTGGTTCTGCTCCGGATCCTCATGATCCTGCTGGTCTTTCTGGTCCTGCTGCTTCTCTTCTGACAGACAACAACAACATGATTAAATACAGTATCTACCTGTATAAGACTGTATCTACCTGTGTAAGACTGTATTTACCTGTACGAGGCTGTATCTACCTGTATAAGGTTGTATTTACCTGTATAAGGTTGTATCTACCAGTATGAGGTTGTATCTACCTGTATAAGGCTGTATCTACCTATATAAGGCTGTATCTACCTGTATAATGTTGTATCTACCTGTGTATGGCTGTATCTACCTGTGTAAGGTTGTA